TGCTGTGAACATGTTGCTAATCCTTGAGATGAGACTCGTTTCCTGACTATCTGTTTATCCATATTTCCAGGCTTCAGAGATTCTTTTATATCAGCTGACGACAAAGGACATTGTTTGCTCATTTGTCTGGAACCATATATCCGTGGACTCTTAAGAGTGTCATGAGAATCAGTTGAGGTATGCAAAAGAGGTTGTCCCATCTCATAATTGATCTTTTTCCAGCAGCCATGCCATGAAAAGGAAAGCTAAGAAAATAAATGACTGCATGCATTTCTTATTTAAAAGGCATTGCATGTAGCAATGTAATCAGGAAGAGAATGCAATAATATAAATATTCAAAATGGAATATAAATGTTTTAGGTCGTCAACCTTCTCAGAGGCATTATGGACACTGGAAGCCTGCTTTTGAGATACACTGTTCTCACTCTTGTTCTGCTCTGAGCACTGAGCAAGAAAACCTATTGACTGATTCAACTGTTTAACAAATGACACTTCCAAATGATTAAGATATAAGTTGTGCTTCTCATTGGTCCATGCTTTGCAATCATCCTGGAAAAAAGTGAATATTTAGAGAACGCTTTGCACTTCTATAGGAAATCTTGTAATGGAACAGAGAAAATAGGTTGTATCTAAAATGGAGCAAAGATACGCTCCTTAATTTTAGGATAAATGGTGTGTATTATCTTCTATTTAAAGTCAATAAAGGAATGAAAACGTTAGTGAAAGAATAATTCTGTGCAAACGCGTAGTTTGTCTTGGGAGGTTTATTTGTTCATCGAACACCAAACACTATTTGGGAGGTCTACATTTCCTCAAATTTGTCTATGTTTTGGATGTTCTTTTCTATCTACTTTTGATGTTCGTTACAGACAAACCGTGTTTGTAATCCCTTCGTGATAGTCAACAGAAAATAAAATATTGCACATCAATGAAAACAGCAGCTAGAAAATAAAAAATAAAGCCATTAATAACAATGACAAATACCAAGCATTTTAATTGGAAAAGTATCCAATATCTAAGCTTGCTTCTAGAGGGAATCAGGCCCATTGAAGACTCAAAAGAAACATTAAAAGAATTCTAACATTAGCATAAACAGATGAATTGCTAATATTCTCTTCAAAAAATGAGAAAGCATATGTTAACAGAATTATTACGGTTCAAGCTGATTGATTATGACTGGTTTTGTTCAGTGACAGAAGTAATAGTTATTCGCAAAGCTAAAACACTAAAGAACAGGAATAACAGATGGTTCGTTTACATTAATGATAGCATTTTTATGATCGACTTTCATTATAACAGGCTACCAAATGTTTGATGTTCCTATAAATAAAATGCAAATTAATCACTCTCCTAATTTAGAGTGTGTTCAACAGCTTGTTGGAACAATTATATCATCTGCCAAATGTGCTATCCAGTTCTCATTCAAAGAAGCAGGGCTAATCGTTTCTATGTCTCGTGTAGAAGCTTCTGCTAACTCTAACCTACTCTTACAAAGTCCAACCAAATTTCAGAAATATCCAACTATTATGATTGATTACGATGCTACCTCATTCCAGTGATTAACCAAAGTGTAGTAAGTGCATGCAAACACACGCATATAAAGTAAAGAATTTAATCCCCATGTACAAACAAATCAAGAAACATATACATAATCTGCACCAACTAGTGACCAGATCTTTTTGTTATTAATGGATTCAAAATGACATAACAAATTGCACATTATTTATTTCCAGTATGTTATGACATATTCTAGACAATAAAATACAAATACAGCCATATAACAATAATAGAATGCATGACATGACCCTTCTATACAATTACCAAACTGCTCTGTTGCACATGCCATATTAAAGAAAAGCACTGCAACTACTCCTAACACTCATAGAAGCCTTCCCTTTCCACTTGTAAGCTACATATTAAAGAAAAACGCTTCTAATGACTTGTACCAAAGCTTTCACTTAATGGCTCTGATTTAACTTCAAGCCCAAAAAATTTTAACACAATATCTTAATCAGTTGACATTCCAATCCATCTTTGTTATGTCTCATAACTAACAGCAATGTAACACACGCATCAGTACAAGTGCATAACTGGCATATTTAAATTTTTGAAGAGAAAAAAAAACCATAAGCAATCCCGAGACATACGATTCATTAAGTGGGGTCCATTGAAATAGGCGACAAGAAGAGTATTACGGCGCCCGGGTTTCTCTCATGCAATAACACACATCTTAGTCATTTGAGATTTTTCTTAATCAATGAGCCATTTTTATCAAATAACAAACATAATCCAAATACAAACAACAAAATGAAAACCATGATGCAACAATTTACCATTAGAGACTCGTTCTTCCTTCCTTCACCGCTTCGAGAATTCCCTTGTTTCTCCACGCCCAGTCCTCTATTCAGCTATAAAGCCACATGTACACACGGGATCAAAAGAAAACATCAAAACTTCAATATAAAATATAACTTAAATACTCCGGAAGCATATAATTAAAAATCAAATCACCCTACACAAGATCCGACCAATTTAAATAACATCATTTACTGCATCGAGCTACCAAATTAAGAGAAAGGTAGAGATAGAGAAGGAGATTACAAAAATAATAAAAATTGAGAAGTGGATCCTGCATATTCACTAAAATTGAGAAGAAATTGCAAAATTACCGGCGTTTCATTTGCCGAGCCACGCGTAGCATCTTCGTAATTCTCAGCAATCAAAGAGGGTACGTCCGAGTTCGACCGAGTCAACTCATTGCCGCAAAACTCTGTCACTTCCGAAACCGCTGGAGCCGGCTGATTATCCGGCCTGTAATTCTCTTCCATTTACACCACAAATAAATTGCAATTTAATTTCCTAAAATTGTAATATCCGCCGAAGAAATCAAGGAAGGAATAAAAAACCCTATTCAAGAGAGAGAAGGCGGTGAAAGAGTAATGCGGGGGTCCAAGAAGGCTCCACAAAGAGACGCTTTTACACGTGTCAGAAACAGTCCCGGATGACACGTCAGATTGCCTGATAATATCTTCGGCCAATGTCAAGCCAGATATTTTTCGAGGAGCAGTTATTGGAGAGTTGCTCACACGTGCCATCAATTCAGTGTGTGTATGTGAGAGCGAGAGATATTCAAGTACAAGAGCCCGTTTGGTAGAGATTAAGAGCCTGTTTGTCTACCATTATTGGTAGAAAAATCGAGTAAGTAATAGTATTTTTTGGATAATGTGTGGTTGAAATTTAAAATAACTTTATTGGTTTTGTGGAATATTTTATTGAGTGAATATGTGGTTGAGATTGTTTACTGTAGAAAACAATGTTTGTAAAAATTGTAGACAAACGGGGGCTAAAATCGGATTAAAATTGAAAAACTAACCGTTATTGTTGACTTTTATTAGACGAATGGGATCCAATAGTGACTATATTTTCAATTTTAATTGGATTTTAATCGGTACCAAACATGCTCCAAGTCTATCGGATATCTGCCAATTAACAGGGATCCTGTAAATTTACAGTTTTAATCCTTTAATATTTTTACCCAAATTAGTTTATATTTTTTCGAAAATATTTAATAGAAATTAGGCCCCGTTTTACAGATTTTTTTCTTGGAAAGAAATAATAAATTTTGTGAGAATGTGTGATTAAAAAGTAAGAAAAGATTTTGAATTTACATGAAAAATATTTTATTTTGATAATATGTGATTCGAAATGAATATGAGAAAATAATGAAAAATAACGTAGGAGAATGGTTGCCAAACAAAATATAGCTTTTTACATTTCTCTCTTTCGATGTGATAAGTCAACATTTAGGATGAGTGTATGTGTATGCGTGTTATAGATATAATGGTTGACTTCTGAAAAACTACTCTTCTAAGATGATGTAATAAGATTCTTACACATCCTAAGCATTGACAAGTTTTAAAAGCAACAGTTAACATCTTCTTTGAAGCGATCAAGTTATTTGTATGAAGTTGAGTTACAAAAGTTGTATTACAAAGTGTATTGATAAAATTCAAACCGTTGATTTCAAATGATTTAAAACTTTATTTTTAAAATGATTGGTGTAGTTATTTTGTCAACCAATTTTGTAATCCGACTTTGTACATGAAACATAACTCTCTTTGAAGACCCTAGCACTACATAAGACATATTTTTTACATGTGGGTTCCCAAAATTCACGTTTGATATCGATTGTACATGGACCAAGGCGCACCCAAATGTCAAGAGCAATAGCACTTCTGCAATTGAAGGTCCCATCCTAACCAAAGTCCAGATATAAACTCAAGACGAGGTATTGGGATTTGGGTTGAATCCCATTTTTGTGTAGAATGCATTTTAAAATAGTAGATTGATGAAGAATGCGTAATTAAAAATAAATGAAAAGTTTTCAGGTTACGTATAATATTATTTTATTGAAAAATGTGTTGTTGAAAAGAAAAAGAAAAAAATGTATTAAAAAAAAAATGGGAATGCTTAATCAGATTATTGCATTTTTCAAAAATGCTGTATTTAGGTCATGTTTGAACCACATTATTTTTTTCATTCTCATTCTTTAACTCATTTTAACCACACATTATTCAATAAAATAATATTTTTCATCACATCAATAACTTTTCCTTCTTTCTCAACCATATATTCCTCGTCACATCAACAGTAAAAATGCATTCTTTTTTCAAAAATGTGCACCAAATGAGGCTTAGTGCCCACTTTTTTATTTTTTTCCCAAATTTTTAGACTGGATATCTGCTGTTAATTTCTCGATTAAATGGACCTAAAGAACTTCCCTTCTGATAAATATAATATAAATTTGAAAAATAAAAACAAATTTAATTACCATAACCCTAGCAATCAGGGCAAAAACTTCTTCAGTGATCAGCAGGGAAAAAAAGTTAAATATTCCAAAAGTAAAATTACAAAACAAATCCCAAAATATAGATATACACAAATTGGTTGAAGATGTCAATTTTTTTTTCTTCTTTTCCCCCACACGAGATGAATCCCAATTAGTTTGGTGAAGATTGGCGAACCGAACAGGCTACAATTCGTGCCCAGTGTTTCAATCTCGTCTTCACTATAGCCGGATCATCATCTATTAAAATTTAATGTACATAACATCAAATAGAAAAAAAGGAATCAGAATTACAATTATTATTTAAATGAATATTTAACAACTGTGATTAAGTGGAAGTTACCTGGATCGAAAATGGAGCTAGGGCTTCCGACAGAGGACACAGAATCACAATTAGAAAGAGAAGACGAAGATCGAGAAAAGCTATTACTGTACTGCTGATTCACAGCATGGTAAAACCCTAACGCTGGAAAAGCAGATGACAATTTTGGATCCAAATCAGGCGAATCGAAGTTGAACCCCAGCTCAAAGCACGCCCGGAGCTCTTCCAAATCATCGTCTGTGACACTGAATTTACCACGCTTCATCCGATAATTTTTCTTCCGATTGGTCCACGCCTCTTCTCGTACAGTATCTGGTGACCATGAATTCTGTTTGTGCAATGCCGGCGGCGGTCTGCGGCGGGGAGGTTCTGATTCTGACATTTGGTCCCCAATATTTAAGCCGCCGTATGAGGCGGAGTAAGGGTTTTGGTTTTCGGTTTTTTTTACTTTTTGGAGAGGAAGCGGGAATTGTGGGATAGTTATGGAATATTTTTATATTTAAAGTGGGTGTAGACTGTAGACGGTGATTGAGCTGTATTCTGGTCAAGTATTACGAGGCTGAGTAGGAATATGGAAATCGAACCATTTAAAATATACTATTCGATTCTGTTTGATAGGGATTGAAATCAGATCTTTAGTAAATTTTAATAAAAATTAATAAAATGTGTGATTGAAAAATTGTGAGTCTAATAAAATATGTGATTAACATTAATTGTTGACTTTGACTTGATATTTTAATCGAATTTTAATTCAAACCAAGCCGGACGAAAGGTGGAAGATTGTGGGACCCGGCCACCACAATCGCCTTATTATCCTCTCCTGTCAACTTTTCAAAATAATGGATGCAAATTTAAAAACATAAATTGGTTTTTTTATAATTGCAAATTGGTCCTCAACTTTTAATTGTAGTCGCCAATCAATTATGAATTAAAATTTGAAATCCAAATCTCCGTTAAATAGTCATATTAATCTCATGACTCAAGTTGAAAATTAGTGTTTATCACTAGTTTAGGTGACAGTGAAACCTATTGATTCATTGTCAAATGAAAAAGATGCATTTCAACTAATTGAACTTTGAACATTGGACCCCACTATTACCTAAATGACTGATAAACATCATTGATTCTACCTAATTGTTCTTTACAAAATTTGTTGTGTGAAGGTCACATGGTAGTTAAACAAACGCTCACGTGATTTACACGGGGAGCACAATTGTGCATTGTAATAAAAAGATTGGTGATCAATTTCACTGTCTTTTCTATACGCTGTGATTAAGGGTACGTTTGACAGATTTTTTGAAAAGTTAAGAGCTACTTATGATCATATTTGAATAATGCTTTATCTAATTATAAGAACTTCTAAATGAAATTGTTGTTTCATACAAAGCGATAAAAGAGAAGACCGAAGAGAATGAAACGTACGTGGTGGTTATCATAGCTATTCCTCATGCTCCTAGAAAATGTTCGAAAATACTTGGCTTTATATCTTTACCTTCGCTAAACACGAAACAAGAAGAAAATGAAATTGAAACTTTTAAGTGGCAATACCGCTTAAAAAAGTGTTCAATTTCAAGTATAACTTCCTACAAAAGTAGAAGCCCTAACTTTTTCTTTATTTAAGCTCAAAGACTTGAATCCAACTATTCAAGGCAATAACAAATTAAGCCCCAATTTGATACAAATTAAAATCTCTAGATAAAGTCAACAATTAATTTTAACCATACATTTCATAGAACTTACGATCTTTCAACCACACATTCCATCAACTTTTATAAAAAATCTACTAAAAATCTGATTTTAAGGGGCTAAATTATTATTGGGTTAATTGGTTAATATTTTTCATCACATCAATAACTTTTCTTTTATTTTTAACCACACATTCTCTATCAATCTACTATTCAATAATACATTCTTTCAAAAGAATGTGTCCCAAACACACTCTTAATAAAAATTAATGAAAAGTGTGGTTGAAAAATTATTATTCTGATAAAATATGTGGTTAACATTAATTGTTGACTTTGACTTAGGCCCTGTTTGGGAGGGATTAAATTTTTCTACAGTAAATCAATTCTCATTTTCAACCACACATTCTTCAATAAAATAATATTTTTCATCCCATCAATAATTTTTCTTCTTTTTCAACCACACATTTCCCATCATATCACTATTCAAAATCAATTCTTACCCAAAAAATCTCTCCCAAACAAGCTCTTAATATTTTAATTGAATTTTAATTCAAACCAAGCCGGACGAAAGGTGGAAGATTGTGGGACCCGGCCACCACAATCACCTTATTATCCTCTCCTGTCATCTTTTCAAAATAATCTATGCAAATTTTAAAACATAAATTGGCTTTTTTTATATATAATTGCAAATTGGTCCTCAACTTTTAATTGTAGTCGCCAATCAATTGTGAATTTAAATTTGAAATCCAAATCTCCATTAAATAGTCATATTAATCTCGTGACTCTAGTTGAAAATTAGTGTTTATCGCTAGTTTAGGTGACAGTGAAACCTATTGATTCATTGTCAAATGAAAAAGATGCATTTCAACTAATTGAACATTGAACATTGGACCCCACTACTAAATGACTGATAAACATCATTGATTCTACCTAATTGTTCTTTACAAAATTTGTTGTGTGAAGGTCACATGGTAGTTAAACAAACGCTCACGTGATTTACATGGTGAGCACAATTGTGCATTGTAATAAAAAGGTTGGTGATCAATTTCAATGTCTTTTCTATACATGGTGATTAAGGGTACGTTTAACAGAATTTTTGAAAAGTTAAGAACTACTTATGATCATGTTTGAATAATGCTTTATTTAATTATAAGAACTTCTAGATGAAATTGATGTTTCATACAAAGCGATCAAAGAGAAGACCGAAGAGAATGAAACGTACGTGGTGGTTATCATAGCTATTCCTCATGCTCCTAGAAAATGTTCGAAAATACTTGGCTTTATATCTTTACCTTCGCCAAACACGAAACAAGAAGAAAATGAAATCGAAACTTTTCAGTGGCAATACCGCTTAAAAAAGTGTTCAATTTCAAGTATAACTTCCTACAAAAGTAGAAGCCCTAACTTTTTCTTTATTTAAGCTCAAAGACTTGAATCCAACCATTCAAGGCGATAACAAATTAAGCCCCAGTTTGATACAAATTAAAATCTCTAACTAAAATCAACAATTAATTTTAACCACACATTTCATAGGACTTACGATCTTTCAACCACACATTCCATCAACTTTTATAAAAAATCTGATTTTAAGGAGCTAAATTATTATTGGGTTAATTGGCGGTCAACCAACTTCGCTCCAACTGCAACTAGAATTGAAGTTCAGTTTATGGCAACTAAGTCACTTTACTTCAATTTAATTGCAATAAATTACTCTGAATTTTGCCAATCTGCGTACCGAATTAGTTAACAATTTAACATGTCTGTTAAAACTAACAAGCTACTCATAGTACATACATGTGAACGGATGAAATATATGAATCTACAATATTAGTAATATAGTAGTCGCTCTTCAATTCGAGTGGTTAATAATTTATAATATATTAAATATCATATCAAATGAGAATCATTTTTTTGGACGATAACTTTACTACAATTTAGTTATTTCAATAATACCCTAGTTTTCGTTTTTCAATATGTAATAAATACTACAATTAATTAGCATTCACATTCATTTAATTAATATTAATTAGAATTTCACAGTGACGTTCACGTCCATATCCCTGATATTAACAATTAATTAACATCTACATTTGTTTAATAATTATTAATTAGAATTTCACATTCAATAATGTAGTTCATTATTCAAGCCTATGTATGCTAATTAACATCAAATTTCACTTAATTAAAAATTAAATTATATTCTTTGAATACAAATGATTTAACCTCCATTGTCACGTATATATTATTTAATTTTAATTCTAAATTAATTAACATTATGAAACTCACTTATAGATTAAAAAACTACTTACAAGATAAAATTAAATGTTTGTGTACAGAATTACTTATAAAGTAAAATTACTATTAATAGGACAAAAATTCACTTATACTACTTTGACAGAAAGTGGTTGACAGGTGGAGTGACATAATGTTCATTGAAAAGATGTGCTTGAATGAAAAAATTTGACCGTGTTCAAAACAGTCAAATAATGAAGTGTCTTTGACATTATGTCAACTATTGTGTCAATGATTATATCACTTTAACACGATTCTTTTATAATAGTAATTTTCAGAGAATGTCTGAATAAAAAGTAAGAAAAATATTTTGGTTTACATGCAAATTTTTTTATTGAGAAAACGTACAATTGAAAATGAGTTAAGTAAAAATGAGTTTCTAAAAAATGGGGATCAAAAAAGAACTTACATAAAGAATTATTTACAAGTAAAATATCATTTATGAGTAAAAAATATATATATAAGAAATTATAAATTGAAAAGTCACTAAGAGGCATATATGTAATTTTATTATTTTAAAAAATTTCTAGGAATTTTGAATAACAAACTTCCAAGCACATGTTGGAGCGTTTTAAAAATAACTACTAAAAATCACCATAAATCGAACTACTTATAAACGTTCAAAATCGATATTTTAATAAATGCCCATAATGAGCGCTCCAAAACTCTAAGGAGACCCTTAGTTTCTTCATCGACCCCTATTGTCACCCCCATCATTCATTTTCATTGACCTCCTCATCCATTGCCGTGAATCCTACCACCACCACCTATTTCAAATTGATCTCGCCTTTTTCTTCTTCCATAGTTTCTTCATCGACCCCATTGTCGCCGCCATCTCTCATTCTCATTGACCTCCTGGTCCATTGTCGTGAAACCTACCATCACCACATATTTCAAATTGATCTCGCCTTTTTCTTCTTCCATAGTTTCTTCATCGACCCCATTGTCGCCACCATCACTCATTCTCATTGACCTCCTCGTCCATTGCCGTGAAACCTACCACCACCACCACCTATTTCAAATTGATCTTCTCGCCTTTTTCTTCTTCCACTCTCTTCGCCAACAGCTTTTGCAACAAGTGACGAAAAACTTGCACAAGCCATAATCCACCGCGGCCGTCATGTTCTCTAAAAATCTTACTTTTCGGTATCTTGGGTTAAATCCATGGCTCGCTCTACCACAATTATAACCTTCATTTCTCTTCCTCGCCCAATATCTGAAATTGACCCCTGTAAACCACACCGTTATCTCCTTCCATAAAACCTAATGTATCTACCGTTACAACGTCGTTTTTTGGGAATGTACGAGAGAATAAATATGGGCAATCTTGGAATGAGTCTTAGATCCTTGTGATGCCGGTATATATGGTTGCAATGTGGTGGTCAGTTCATTGTGAAAATAAATA